CAGCTGCATTGAATATTTTGCTTTAAGCTATGTATTTTAGTTTACAGTAAGCATGGGCAAGTGTTGTTAAAAAAAAAAAAAAAAAAAAAAAAAATATTGAAAATTTTTATTTTATGCATCAAGCAGCGTATTTAAAACTTATTCAAAATGTATGAAAAAAATCATCTAAAAATATATATGCGTTTAAAGATATTCACTAGTGTCCGACCGAAGCTGGAATTTTGGCCGAAGCCGAATATTAGGTACTATTCAATATATATAGCCGAACACCGAAGCCGAAGCAGAACATTAAAATTAAGTTTTACGCTTCAAAAATTAAAAGTCTGTGCTTTTTTATTTCGTAACAAATTACCTATATCGTCGTGGGCAAAACCACCCATCGACCAGTTGTTAAACCGCCTAAATCGCCGTTGTGGCAAAAATGAGATTTGGTAACTCTGAACTCCAGACATCGAGATTTATGCATACAAATCGTAAAATCGTTATTTCACTCTCCTGTAAAATTTGAGTGTCTTAAGATAGGCGGTTTTGCAAAAACATCGACGATAACATTACAGTTGAATCTTAAATTATGATACTACTTTCGAAAAGGCAATTTTTGCATTCCAAAGTTGCTTGACTTCTAGTACTTACTCGCCAGATTTCAGTTCTTATCACCCCTACTTACCACCCTAACGTCAGTAAATTAGAGCTCACCAAAAATCATTACACTTTTGCTAAGAAAGTAAATATTTCTATAGTTCATGTAGGCTTCTCCGAAAATTTAAAATTGCGACTCCTAGGTTGGGGCAAAAAAAATTTCGAAATTGCCTCAGGGAGGTTTGTTTATTGGCAAGGTGCTGCAGGCTAGTATTCACCTTACACTTGAACGGAAAAACGACCCCAATTGGAATATCCGAATTTCATCAGCAATTCTCCTCTATTTTCGGGCACGTTTGCGATTATTTTATTATTTTTTGACACTACTTGGCCGCGTGCTATATAGATTACGTGCCAATGAATGCTGACAGGTGTTACGGTCATTATCAGAAACATGTGGAAATGTTTCGTTTAGTTTTAGCGTCATCGTAATATTAAATCTTGACTGATTACTCAATTCAAAACAATAAGTCATTACGTCTGCTGCCTACTACTTATCGCGCACATATGTATGTACTTCAAGAGAAGATTAAATAAAAATTTCCGGTATTGCTTACTTAGCAGACTTACTCTTGATACCAGACCCATTCGCTTTGCTTCTCTATCCAATCGCGCGAGAAGGCAGAACAGACGTATCCCTTGTTTTTACCGATAATATCGATGTCGTCGGCATACGCCAGCAATTGTACGCTCCTGTACGCAGTATTGCGCCTGAGTGGTTCAGTTCTGCGACTCTTATTATCTTCTCCAACATCAGATTAAAGGAATCACACGAAAGGCAGTCCCCTTGCCTGAAACCTCGTTTGGTGTCAAACGGCTCGGAGAGGTCCTTCCCTATTCTGACGGAGCTGGTGGTATTGCTCAACGTCATTTTACACAGCCGTATTAGTTTCGCGGGGATACCAAATTCAGACATCGCAGCATAAAGGCAACTTCTCTTCGGCTTTGAAATCGACAAATAGATGGTGTGTGTCGATCCTATTCTCGCGGGTCTTTTCCAAGATTTGGCGTATTGTGAATACCTGATCTATGGTGGATTTGCCAGGCTTAAGCCACACTGATAAAGTCCAATCAGTTCGTTGACGGTGAGCTTCCGTCTTTCGCACAATACACTCGATAAGACCTTATAACCTATGCTTAGAAGGCTGATTCCGCCGTAGCTGGCGCCTTTCTTGTGGATTGGGCAGAGCATCGTTAAATTCCAGTCGTCGGGCAAGCGTTCATCTGACCATATTCTGCATACTTGAATAGCTCGGCTGGCAGGCCGTCAACTCCAGCAGTTTTGTAGATTTTCAGCCGCGTAATCGCTATTCGTACCTCGTCATAATCACGCGGTGGAACAGCTACTCCACCATCATCGACTGGGGACTCGGGTTCGTCTTCTTCACTACTTTCAGCGCTGCTATTATTCAGTAGGTTGTAAAAGTGTTCCTTCCATAATTTAAGTACGATCTGGACATCGGTCACAAAGTCGCCATTGTTGTTCTTACAGGAGTTCGCCCCGGTCTTGAAATCTTCCGTAAGTCGCCTAACCATCTGGTAGAATTTTCGGGCGTTCTTCCTGTCGGCCAGCTTTTCAAGCTTTTCGCACTCACGTATTTCGGCCTATCTCTTCTTATTGCGGCAAATACGTCTCGCTTCCCGCTTCAGATCCCTATAGCGGTCCCACATAGCGCGCGTTGCGCCCGATCGCAGCGTGGCCCTGTAGGCGGCATCTTTTTTCTCTGCAGCTTCCTGACACTCCACAGCACAACGACTATACTCCATTGCACTCCAAGTATAGTTATGACTATCTATCTATCTATATATAGAAATGTCAGGCTTTAAAATGACATTAAGATGAAGTCTCTACGATGCGGATCTTTTCCGAGCACCCCAAACTGGTATGTCATAATTAAATATTTTTAGTGGATTTTTGGTGTCTATACCGATTTTGAGCTTTAAACTTGTAACTTTTTAGAATAGTACTTTAAGTAAATTACTATAAATTTGTATTACAAGCTTGGTGGATATTGATGAATACAAACATATTACGCATTGCGAAAGATGATATCTCGCCATAATAGTGCGAACAATTGAATTGAAGCTTGGTCGGCTAATAATTCATAGGTACACTATCGGTCATCTCCATTCTTTCATTTCAAAGTCGTACTACTTAGTATGTAACTGTATGTATGTGTCAATACATAATTATATTTCTTTCACTTACCTCACATTCGACAATGGTCCGAAATTCTCCTCTGTAAAAGTATCTGACGTAGAGCCACGCAACGAATCCCAGCGGTCGATTTTCTTCACTTGCTGCAATGGCAACTTAATTAAATCCTGGCGAGAGCTCGCCTTCATGAACGATTTTGATGAGCTGACACCGATACTGAAAACAAATAATAGAAACGTTTGTTAAAAATGTGTTGAAATAGAAAATTGGTTTGCTAAAATCCCCCCAAAAAAAAAAAATTAAGTTTAAAATCTTAACAGCATAGAAGTGTACATGGGATTGTCAGGAGCAAAGCTGCGGCATCATATCTCAACGGCAAACAAAAGCAGCCATATACCAGCCAGCTGTGTGCGCTGTTGCCGAACTGAAAGTGAAATGTTAAGGCGAAAAAGCACGCGCTGACAGGATAATACAACAATACATTTATCTGGCGAATAACAATTTGGCAAGTAGTGAATAATGCGAAAGGAAGGAGAAAAACAAAAATAATTGCACATAGAAGAATACAAGAAATATTGAATAGATGTATTAAATATGAAGGAAGTACTCCAGAAGAGGGAAATTTTAAGAAATGTTGGAAAGAAAAATATATACTAGTGCTTGTATTACAGTGGTTTTTTATTTTGGAATGTTAACAAAAATTATTTAACTACTAACTAATGACAAGTGCAAAAAATATAATTATTCTTTAGATGGGAAAACTAAATCGAAGGAGTTGGCTGTGGTTTTCTATGAAGATGACGCGGTTCGATCCTAGACTGCGAATTCTGATCCAGTGAAAGTACAAATTGGTTTGGGAGATATGTAGGTACGATCCTCAATGCAACTCTCTTTAGATCTATCCGTCGTTAAAATCTTACATTTAGCAAATAATAAAAAAACGAATTAGTAGTTGCCTTAAGTAGCTGCTTGAGAACCCTTGACTCTTGGACTCTTTAGATTCATTAAAAACGTATTATCTATGGAGTTCACATTTGATAAAATACGCTGAAGAAAACTACATTTGGTACGATTTATGTACTTGTACATACATATTTGGAGAACTTGCATTAGTGAGAGTAAACAACTGCCAGCTTTGGCAGGCACTTCATTACTCGGAAGTGACCAATAAGAAAGCCTGTAACAATTTTTGCATTATGTCTCGTAGGGTCAAAGTTAAGGAGCGCTTCAGTTGTCCTTGTTGATATTTTCGATATGAAAGAGTAAGTCTAACTATTACCTTCCACATTTTTCCAGTAATGTTGCGCTTCCTAATTCTTCTTCTTTATTAGCGCCTAAGCGATTTGGAGCGGTGTCTGAGTGTATGTTGTCGCTCATGTGAGCAAATTCTTAGTTTAGTCAGGTGTCGTTTCAACATGCAAAGTTCTGTAAGCTCATGCATTCTTTAAACCGCTATAGATTAAAAGTTCCATGCTCTAAGCAAGGAAGATAGTCCCGATAAAAATCTTCTTTTCTTATTTGCAGCTCGCACTTTCTTAAAAGCCCAATATGTCTCTCTACTTCCATATAAGAAAAATATTCAGGGAAACCACCCAATTGGCCGAAAAATTCTCATTTAAAAAACCACACCACGGCAACTCGCTCAAGTGTCATTAGGGAAACAGTGCCCTTAACTAAGTATGAAGTGGCAACTTAAGTACATACATACATACTTATTTTTCCGCCAGACTCATGCACTAATCCATTGTGGATTTGAAAAAAGTGGGGGCTTACGTGACTGGGTGGGCATTGGAGAATACTTTGTTAAAGGAGCATAGGAAGGCCAATCTATCAGAGACTAAAAGAGCAAAGAGGAGCTCACAATTGCAAAAAGCAGCGAACCATTGCGTTTTCATACATACCCAGCCAGCAAAATCATCGTAAACGAGCTCGTAACGGGAAATCTTCTCGAAGAAAACCCGGGTAAAAGTTCGTTTATGATAAGCCGCTTATGATTCGTTTTCCAGCACTTTTTCGCTTGAAATTGTGGAGCGCCTTCGAACAGTCGTAAACGTAATTATAAACTATGTATTTGTCAATGTTATTGTGGCTTTGTTAACATTTTATTTTTAATATTTTTATTGAGCTTTGTACCACGATTGTTTTTTATTAGGAAAAATTGAAAAAGCAACAAAGTCTAAGCGGTAGACTTTGAACATCGAATTCGCAGGTTCGATCCCTGCTGAAGTCTAGAAAAAGAAGTCTGATGAGGAGATGTGGTGATCTCCGAAATAGTGCTATAACTTCTACCGCTTAGACTTTGTTGCTTTTTCAATTTTTCCTAATAAAAAACAATCGTGGTACAAAGCTCAATAAAAATATTAAAAGTAATTATAAACTATTGTGGTACTAGAAAATTTTCCAACAAAATTAAAATTTTTTCTTGTGCTGACAAATCACTACAAGCTTCTTTAAAATTTAATTTTTTTTGTTATATCATTTACGAGCCCTTCTCTCACTTTTTGCCGATCGTAAAATATAATGTTCGTAAAACATACGTTTTCTTGCTGGCTGGGTAAATATCTGTATGCACATATGTATACATACATATGTACGTCAGTGTATTACTAAGTACCTACTATGAACATTCAACATTTAACGCTATGTATTGGAACCACGTTGAGGAAAAAAAGTTTGAAAAAAAAAAATAAAACAAAGCGCAATAACAAAAGACAGTAGATGGAACTGTAACTGTGTACATACATACCAGATATGTGCATATGTACTAGGGATGTTAATTTTTTAGCTTTTTACGATCCCGGGATCTTCGGTATGTCTTTGTCACAATCCGCCGGGGTGCCGGGATTAGTCCCGAGACTTAGATATTCATTACTTTTCAACAACTTAAATCGAAAAAATTGTTTCTATATTGTTTGAGAAGCTCTCCTACCATAAAATAAATAATAAATAAATGGGTTTGAAACCTAGTTTTTTATTTAAAGTGGAGTTTTTATTTTTTCTCTCTCACGTCAGGATTTATTTTTCTAGGACTTTGTAATTTGTAATATGGTTAATTCCAAAAATTATTTAAAAAATTCAATGCGATGTAGAATAAAAATATGGGTACCAAATGAAAGAGGAAATTTGTTTAGAATTAAAAAAAAAATGATTTTTTTAGAGTCACAATGACAAATAGATAACTTTTGAGGCTGATAAAGTTATAAGGACGAAAGTGGAAGATGTTATAGAGTTTATATGTCCTTAACATATAATTTTTTCAAAAACAAATTATTGCGAAATTTCAAGGATAAAATTTTAAAAGGACATTTTCAATATTTACCAGCCCTTCGGCACCAGAAACTTGAATCTGTTTAAATTCGACACAATTTCTTCTTTAATTTTATGTTCATACCACTTCTCTAAGCAATTTTCACTGAATTTTTGAAATCATTTTTGAATTACTGACGTCAGAGTGAAAAACTAAAAACGCAATTTTAGTATATTTTACCAATTGTTTCGCGAATATATTGAGTTTTGTGTATAAAATTGCATAATGTGCTAGACATTTATAAAAAAAAATATTAATTATTACATAAAAACAAAACAAACATAACCAACACTGGTCAAGAAAATGAGTTTCTATTATTGCCATCAGTGCAAATTACAAATCCCGAATATTCCGAGATTTTTTGGTCCTCAAAAAGGCTGGGATCCCGAGATTACCATTCCTAATATGTACGTTTACAAATCAGGGATGATAAATGAATTTTTCCGAATTGTACCACACGTCAGAAAAAAATGTACCAAATCAAATAAAAATGTACCAACAAAGAATTTTAAATGCTTTGAAAAAAAAACAAGAATGTTTAAAACAAATACGTATATGTACATTTATTGAACACCTTTGAAATAAAAATCTTGTAAAAATTTTAAAAATGTTTCAAACTAATTTTATTTGTTCCCAAAACTCACATATATATATTTAAATCTTTTAAGTTCTCGTGCTTCGTTAGAAAAGGTTTGAGATTGAAAAGGAGAAAACCATTTCTATAAGAAATCGGAATTTGCCAACCTTTTAATAAAAAGCAAATTTAGTCGAAACTTGTATGAAGTAGAGAAGGGCGAAAGTATTTGTTTAAAGAAGTAGAAATTTTTAACCAACGTAAATATAAAAGCAATAGAAATATACATACACTGCGCTACATTTTCAAATTTTACCAAAAAAGCACAACTGTGGCAACTTTATCATCACTGCTACAAATGTGCAAAACAAAAGCATAACACAACACAACAAAATCTGACAAAAAATAATAACTCTGGAAAACAATAAGCGAAGCAGATTCAACAAGCTTTACAAAACCCCCCCCCCGCTAAGCGTTGACGTGCGGCCGTTTTTGAAGTGTAATTAAAGAAAAATCTTCATTGTTGCGCGCATTTCGCTGGAGAGCCATTGAGTGCGGTACTGTTGCTGCTAAATATGTACGTGATAAACTATGATACAGTGGATTATTTGGATTATTTCCATCTAAGTTTTAACAATAATAACACTTAGGCGCTTGCACTTTTGCTAAGTGTTTGGCTCATATTCTCCTCGAATTTGTGGTGTGCTTCTTAATGTTGTTACGCAAGCATGGAGGGACCAAAAGTTGTACGCCACCTTCTAACGGAAAATGCATTTTATGAGAAGCGTTCTAATTTAAATGTTGTTCAGACCAGGAATCGAACCTAGGTCCCAATCGATCTAGAAGTTCTTTTGTATCCTTATGGATAAATCTTTTTCCTATTTCGACCGACGATTTACGTAATGAATTTTAAGTATGGAAAAACACAAAACAAAATTTTAAAATTTTTTTAAATGTTTAACCCTGACAGCCCCAACCAAATTTTGTCTTAAATGATAACTGAGAAAGTAAATTTCAAACCATTTTCAAGTTGTCCTCCGATTATCGGTGTTTGTCTTCATTTTTTTACCAGGGGCCATAATTGTTATGTTTTTTCAATAATTCGATAAATAATCGTTATTTTTTCATTTATAACATCGCTACCATGTCGAGTTTGCCAATGGGTATATTTAGATGAAATAGCCATTAAATTTTAACTTTTTATTTTCAATCGAAAATAAAGGCCAAATGTAACTGTTATTTTTGACTGAAAAATACCGATAAAAAAATAATTATTGATTGTTGATTTTTTTTTAACAAAAATCTAAAAAATTTTAATCATCTAATATTAATATT